AAAGGTACTTTGTACACCTGCCTAATTCTAACCACCTGTGTCAGTGATCTTGTTATATTTAATCCAAAATAAAGTTGAGTCGGAAAATGAAGGGTCACGTCTCTATCCCAAAAGGTTCTCTCAAAAGAAGACCAAAATAAAATCTACCCTAAAATCTAGGATGCTCATCACGTCAGGCCATCATTTTCCCAAATACATGAATAAATATCATCTTACATGCAGTTGAGGATACAGAGTTTTAGCATTTTTATCTTAAACTATCCCTAAATATAACACAAGCTGTTCATGCATCAGACATACTGTATATTTTTGTGAGGTTTATATACAGCTAAATGCAGAGTTCTTTCTGTGCAACTATATTTCTCAGGAGTATTTTACTTTCTAGTAATTCACTGTACTTTAACAATCATATAGGTCACCAAGAAAGAATTCTCTCTGTTTGCTTGCATCAGTGTTATAAAATGCACCACATAAACATAAGCTGCCACAATGCAGCTGTTTAATGAACCAGAGTGCCAACTCACGGAGCGGCAGCCTTGTGTGTCATGTTTTGTTGAGTAATTTGGAGCCTTATTGTCCTTTTCCGTTCCCATGTGCCACTGTCAGATGCCTGGGGGGTATGGAGACCCACTAATTGAGCTTTCACTGCTTTCCGCTGCTTTCAGGGAAAACACAGCACAGAGCGTTGAAATTTCCAACACACTTAAGGTCCCCATACTGCAACCAGGTGTTGCAAAAGGGCTAAAAAAATATGCTAAGTTGGAAAAACACAATCTCTGCTGTTTGTGTCTGATGGGATTTCTGACACTAAAATGATGTGAAAAAGGAAAAATGTTTAAACAATAAAATACACTCACAAATTTGAATATATCTCTTTTCTTCTGTAACCTTTTTACATCCTTCCTAGTCTGAAAATGTTTAAAAATGCAAAGAAAATTACAGTCCACAGCATGAAAGTAATGAACAAAAACTCAAAATATAAAATGCTAAATTTCTGAGGTGATCTGCGATCATAAATGACAATGTATTAGAATGGGGTTGTTCAAAACCGAGTTGTTTGTGGCATGATTTAACAAAATTCAAGAAACCAAAGAATTTGTTTGGGAAGCTTGCGTGCAACTTTCCAAGCATAGGCTCCAAACGCATCCGACTGTGGCTTTAACTCTGGCCCTAACCCCTGCCGAACCCTGACCTGCTAAATAAAGCAGGAGGAAAACACATCTTCTGTCCCTCCAGTAAATCCACATAAAGTCATGACGCAGTTGTGCCCCGACTCACAGTCTACTCCATTAGGACTTTGGCTTATTTCCAATATATTCTAAAAGTCTGTCATGCCAACAACTCGACTGTTAAACTTGTTTGAGAGGCAAAAGTATTTCTTAACTCCATTAAGTGAACAAAATGTGCTTTCTTTCCTGGTCACCTATTGACTCTTTGCTGCCAGTGTTAAGAAAACTAGCATTTCTTGCTAGCAAACTAGCAAGAAAACTAGCATGGCCTGATGTCTCTGACAGGGTGTCTCTCGGATTGTGATCAAATTTGGGCGTCCATATTTATAGTCTCCACAGCAAGATGAAGTCGTTTGACCCTCTCTTGATAATTACTCGCGTCTCTGCCCCTGTGTCATTAGATTAGGTTGGAATCCCGAACCCACAGCCTGTGCCTGACACACCACGCTAACAGGTTAATGGAGCCAAAATTAATAATTACAACATTGCATTTAAATGGTAGACAGAGTGTCTCGCTCTCTGAAGTCAGCAGTCACACAGGCAACACATTCATGGTAAACGAGAAATTCAAATTATACAAAAGCATCTGACTCCATCTGAGTGGTATGTGACTCAATGTGTAGATTAAGAGAAAATAATACACACAAAAACACAAGATTATCATATTCGGGTGCATAAAAGATTTTGAGGCATTATACTCAGTTTTAATGTTATTTCTTTGATGAATAGCTCTATCCACTAACACTTTGACTATTTGGGCTGTCTGATGTGACTAATAATCATTTGCTCAATTAAAAAAAATAGGCAAATTCATAGAGTTTACTCCAGAAAACTACACAAATCTATGTTTTGATGGTATCTCTCACTCTCTGTAAGATGTTGTCTCCTTATTTAAAAATAACATTAAAAAATTACAGAAGGTCATCACCACGCCCTGCTACTCATTCAATATTTATTTCATCAAGATTCTACACAGAAGAAAATCTGAAGGTAGGTGTGTAAGGTTAGAGATTCCAGAGAGCTAATTAAAAACGTCTAAGCGATTTGTGAATTTTGTAACCTTATGCCACTCTCCCTAAATGTTAATTACCAAAGACAAGCTTGATAAAATACTTTAGCCTTGTTAGTGGCTTTAACAACTAATTACAGGGAGTAATGGTCTGTACATGACTGTGTGTACTCTATAGGGATAGCCTTATCATAAATAATCCAACAGAAGACCTCTGGGCAGCATGTTGTAAATATAAAATCTTTCTCTGAAAAGACAATTATGACAAGTTAAAGTCAAGTTAAATCATATTTTTTACTTACTCTTCTCTTAAATATTCCTTGGGTACACAGTCATTTAAAAGGTTTTCAGGATGGTTTGTTTTTATTCATCTCTAAATTACTCCACGGTTACCAAGCACATACAAAAGGCTGAGGACATCCTTTTTTCACATTTTCAGAATCTCAGACTAACCTTGTTCCAGTAAAATATTTAAATCTAAGGTATTTTACATTTGTTGAATATGATTTTTTTAAAAACATTTCACTTTTCAGAGAGTTGCTTAGAATTTTCAGGGTTAGAAATTATTCATTTTTATATATCTTAATTTGTTTATTTGATTTGATTCCTTTTATTGATAGTCTTGTTGCGAATAATTATAAGATGTTACAGGAAGACTTCTGCTACTGTCTGATTGAATATAGGAACAAAAAACATTTATTTTATTTGTCATTGTTATTGTTAAGATTTGGGGGGAAAGAGGGCAATAATACATTGGGCTATATATTTTGGTTCTTTTTAGAAGTCTTCTCAACAGTTTGCCATTTTGGAAAGCTGATCCACACTCTGTATACAGATTCCTAATTTTAATGTCTGCTTGGCTTATGTAGCCGTTTTAATTTTCACTCTGCCCACAAGGACAGGTGACCATCTGTTCTGATCTGTTGAAATAAGAAAATATGAAAGGAGGGGGTTAAAGAGGACAAGGATGCTGTTTGACAAACAGAAAATGACAACTTTTGTCCCTGTGAAACCTAGCTGATGGATAGCTAAGCCACTATGGCTGTTAGACTGCTTGAAGCTTTGGAAAATACAGACGAAGAGAAGCTTTTTGGACACTGGGAGCACCTGGTCCTTTCACCTTTTCGCCCAGTCTGAAGTGCATTTAGGTAAATTTCTTTCCTATCCTTCATTTCCCTACCGTTTGTCATTTAAAGGTCCTCCCCGACCATCAGAAGCGATACGTTCTTTATTGGCTTGCCCTTTACACGACTTCCCAGGAACTCTCAGTGGCCCAACATTCTTCTGAATTCATCCCAGGTGTAGAGTCTTGGCCAGAGAGGTAAAATTCTTCCACCATCACTCAAATTGATTACCTCCTTCCTGCTCCAGGGCTGTTCTCTTGCAGCCAGTTGGAGCTGAATAAGAGAAAAGATCTTCCACTCTGGTGCTAAGTAAGAGAAACCAGGACCGAACACCACGAAAACTCCTTTTTTCAGAACCTAAATTCACGTAACGACAAAAACCTAATGTATTTTTTAATACATTAGGAGTGCCGAAATACGTCTTCCCACATCTTTACTTCCTGAACTCATCTCATGGCTATGATTACAAGTTATAGCTGCTCACTGTCTCGGGATTTGTTCATCATTTGTGGGACCTGTGAGATCCCTTTTCATCCTGAGCCTGAACCTTTCCTCTTGTAAATGTCACACAACACTCCGCCCTTGTAGTGCACTGGAGTTCAGCAGGAGAGAAAAAAAAATCTTTGGCTTTTTTAAGGTTGGGAAGCTGCCCTTGTTTGAAGAACATTTTAACCTTTTCAAACAATTACAACAAGTCATATAGGATGCTTTTTCTTTGAAGACATGTGAAAGCAAGCAGTCGTAATCAGATGGAAAAGAATCAGAAGAAAATTCAAAATTTAAAACATGTTTCAGTGTCGTTTGAGATTGTTGTTGGAGGTAAACGGGCCATACGGTTGGCCTCATAACCATCACACCCCTGAGCCATACATGAAAACGTATCCTTTTGCTGCTGCTGTGTTGTTTTCTTGTCTCACAGAGGTAGCAACAGCCGTAGGCTTTTCTACAAATATATATCAGAAGTGGGTTATGGATTTATAAAACTGCTTAAATGTGAAATGACAAGACAGAGCTCTTTGCTAATTGTAAGACCTCAGTAACAAGAATCATGACCCTAAATAACAGTTAGTCCCTCTAAAAATAGAAAGAATACATTTGTCTTGATAATCTTACTGTTAATGTCTATTTTTGGAAGTTCCATAGTACAAATCCATTTGATTTTATTTCACAAAAACAAGCACTTTTTACCCATTCAGTCTAAATGTATTAATGATGTCCATTAATGGAGCCATTGTATGAATAACTTACGCAGTCCTCTGCAAGACTAATCTAAATGAGCAGTGGAAACCAAAGCTGCTGCCTGATTGTGGTACCTACTGTGACGCCTTTTACTATAGCCTACGCCGGAGGGAGTGGTTAGAAGCGAGTTGAGACACTGCAAACCGAATCTCCGCGCTTTTTCCTCTGTCCTCTCCCTTTGGCTCTGTCGCAGTTCATCGCAACCTTTACGCATGATCCCAAACGCGCCGTCCTCTCCGTGTTTTGTTGCAAAACCGGACTGCTTTTGAAGATGTGGAAAACAGATTTTAAAACTCATGTTTCCATCTGAAAAAGATCCGCAAACTCCACGAGCAAGCACGTTGATTAAAACTTATCTGGATGACTTGATGTGAGATTCCGGTTTACGCAGCGGGTTCGATGGCTTACCATCCTTTTCCATCTCATCGGGCTGACGTGCTTTCCTTGTCAGCCTTACTCCCGAGCAACCAGCCCACTTTCTTACCTGCCATGACCCTCCCGGACGTGGTCCTGGTCCCGGACCCCCTGCCGGAGCAGCCTGACAAAGCCTGTCAAAATCGACCAATCCACCCGCGATCTGTGAAGAACCTGCACCCCGAGGAATGGCTCGACGAGGACCCGAACATCACGCTCGAGTCAAATAAGTTATGGACTGAATTTCACAAAATGGGGACTGAGATGGTTATCACAAAATCCGGGAGGCGAGTATTCAGAACAATCGGCTAAACTTGACATCTTATTCCTGGGTTGGGACACAGGACAAAAGATGCTATAGAATGCCAAACTGGAAAAAAAACAAAAAAACGCATTAAGATTAACATGTACAGAAGTAAAAATTGATTCTTTATTTTATCTTTTCTTTTTATAATGCTTGTTCCTATCTATCTACCACAGGAGGATGTTTCCACCCTTCAAGGTGCGCGTGGAAGGACTGGATGAAACGGCTAAATACATCCTGCTGATGGACATTGTAGCTGTGGATGACTGCCGCTACAAGTTTCACAACTCCCGCTGGATGGTGGCTGGAAAAGCAGACCCGGAGATGCCAAAGCGCATGTACATCCATCCTGACAGTCCTTCCAAAGGGGAACACTGGATGAGCAAACCCGTTGCTTTTCATAAACTCAAACTGACAAATAACATTTCGGATAAGCATGGATTTGTAAGTATCACTTTTTGAAAACTGTACTGTCGATGCGTTTTTTTAATAGACACATATTCAGAATTTTAGTGTGATATCAAGTTTCAATGTGTTTTTTTCCAGACTATTTTGAATTCCATGCATAAGTACCAACCCAGATTCCATATAGTGAGAGCAAACAGTATAATGAAGCTTCCATACAGCACCTTCCGAACTTATGTTTTTCCAGAAACAGAGTTCATTGCTGTCACTGCCTATCAAAACGAAAAGGTACCCTCCACAAGCTGTCAAGATTCTGCTTGTCCGTCGCTGTTTGTGCAAATGTATCCTTAATGTGGAATGACTTGTTGTTCTCCTTTCTCTGGAATTAAGATTACGCAGCTGAAAATCGACAACAACCCCTTTGCCAAAGGATTCAGAGACACTGGGAACGGGAGACGAGAAAAGAGGTATTTATTTGGCAACTTAGTGAAGTAGCTGCACAAGGCTCATACTTAATCCGGTTCAATTTGTGATCAACAGGAGTAAACAGATAGGCGTCTCTTTGGTGCTTGAAAACCAAAGGAAGGCAGAGGATTGTGGTGATTCCGAGGACTCAGATGAACATCACACTATGAGTGAGACTTTTTATTCTCCCCTGGAAGTGGTGAGCAGCCCACTGATCCGCACGTCGGCCTGTGAAGGTGGGTCAATTTACAGTATAACGCATGTACTTTGGGAGTCTGCACTATGTACAAATATCCAGATATTTAGTTTGAATAATGGTTGATATGTAACACACTCCAGACACGCAAAGCAATGCCATGTAGACTTTTTTAAATAACTCTTTTTAGCAGCACATTATTACGGTTCTATGATCATTTTTTGCAATATATCTAAAGTTGTTAAATGTTTCGATGTCTTTGGTATCGTTGATATCTAAAGCCTAACACTGATATTTTCACATTATATTGTCATAGTTGGCAAAAGCAGGTGCAACTTATAACATTACTGACGGCTAAGCTCAGATTGAATGTAAAGTAATCCTGGATGGTGTGACTGTAAATCAGTCTGCTTAAGGCCCACACTTTGAAAGTGAAGCTGTGGGACGGAATTCCATCTTCATTATTTACACTTATCTTCTACTTAAATTGCTGTATGTAGGCTTCACAAGATTTCTTGCACCTGGTCACAAAATCTTACTTTCATTATGTAATCATGTTGTCTGGGAAATAAATCAATTTTATTTGAACTGTCAGAATTTTCATGTCTTTGTTCAGTAATCTGTTTTTTTATAATGCAGATGAGAGCCATTCTGGAAGTGAATCAGATCTTGATCTGCAAGATGATGTCAGTTCTGAACCAAGCTCTTCCAGGACAGCACATACAAATCTGACAAGTGGGGAAATATTGCCAAACAAGTCTGATTCGAGCAAAAGGGACAACAATCAACTTGGAACAAACGAGAGAAGAATATGCGATGCGTCCTGTGAGAGATATCCTACTGATTTTGGCTCCTCAGAGAATCAAAACACTACAGTGAAACAAGGGGTCCGACCCATAATGCCGCAGACCTGGAGCTCATCAGCACTGGACGACATTCGGTGTCAGACTTTGGATTCTACAGGTGTGTACGCCCAACCGTTTGCCAGGCAAGGAGCTTCTTTTTTGTTTCATCCAGGATGGCTTTCCATGAATTCAGAGTCTTTTTCGAACATGGATATGGGACCTGGGATTTCCACTTTGCCCGGAGTTAGGGAAGTAGGAAACAGAAGCATGTCTTCTCAGAGTAGTGCAACTTCATCTCCGCTCATGTTTCACCTGTCACAGCCCATGCTGTCATCTCAGGTAAGCCTCAGAAACGTTACCGTATTATTACTTGCCTTTTTTATTCACCCAGATAGAGGAACTACATTTCATACAGTGAAATACAGAAATCTAATCTCTTTTTATGCCACATTTGTGATATTTGGAACTTAAATACACAACCGATGGGTTCATACATTTTTTTTGCCATTATTTTGTAAAATGAGAGCAACCCTAACTTTTTTAGATCCTCACCATGGGTCAAAAAATCATGACCAGATGGAAATAATATATGATAGTTGTCAGCTGTATGAAAAAACAGTCCCTTTTTTATCTCTACAAGGTTAAAACCGTCACCAGTATTTATTTGTTTGCTGTCCAATTTTCATTTATATCACGAGTGAAACTTTGCTTTTTAATTTTGTAAATAGCCACACCATGAATATCTTGTGTAAAAAAAGTTTGAATTAATTCATTGAATTAAATTAAGTCATGATGTGCTACAAATCCTAAATAATATCTTTATGTTTTCAAACAGGAAGTGTCACTATCCCGTTTTGGAGGGATGCTGTCCTATCCTTACCGGTACATGGCCACACCAGGTACTATTGCCTCCACCCTACCCAGCTGCTCTGCTAACCCGTTTTTCAGTAGGAACCATCACCACAACAACTCTCAGCCTTGGTTGTCCTTCAGCCCCTATCAGGTCCCCACATCTGTCACCTCTTGCCAAAATCCACTAACAGCCAAATTGCCTGGTCGATCACATTCAACGCCTGAGCAGTCCAGCTCTGGAAGCAGTAACTCGAGTCTTGTGTCTGACATTCACAGCTACAAAGTGCAGGCCAAGAAGAAGAATATTCAGGGTTTCACCGATCATCTGCCATACGTTCATATTCCTGCTAGAGAACGGAACAAATCCCATCCGTCTCTGTAGGCTCTGTGGATTTTGTGGTGGATAGTGTGTGTTGGATGAAAGTTTACTCAATGTTTACACATAAAAAGCACTTAACATGAATATTTTATGTAACCTTATTTGTGCTTCTTTTTTCACCTATCTTGAGACAATAAAAACATATGCCAAATAAACTTTGATTCACTTATTTTCAAGTCAAGATACCCATGCATTGCCATTACTTGTGCTTTTGTTTTAACAATTCAGTCAAACTAATGGCCAAAAAGATTTAAATTCTTGACAGAAGTCATGGAAAATAAAAAAGTATTGGCAGCTAATCGTTGTGGATATCTTTCACAAATATATTCTTGAATTTCCATGTGTCCCCAGAGCAAGTCAGTCTCAGGACCAATAAATGTTCTCCAACCACAGAAAACAAGTAACATGCTTCTTTTTTTTAGATTAATTTTAAGCAAAGTCTTTGTGTGTCAAATCAGGACGTTCTTCTGGAATTCTGTCCAAGAAGTGGATCGGACATTCTTTTACTTATTGTGTCTTGTAAGGATCCAAATATTGAACTGTATAAAAAACACCAGGTAGAAAATGAATGTAAGTATTAAAAGATTTATGAAATATTCAAAATAGGCAGCACAGACAAACAAAACAAAACAAAACAGAGTAGAACAGCTGACAAATGATGCCTGTTGTTTTCAAAGCAAGCTGATAATGCAATATAGAGTATGTTTTTTTCAACTACCTGGATCTTTTTCTGTAGAATCTTTAACCATGGGAATGGAAATCTGTGTTAATGAATGCCTCTGAAATAGATACATGTTGTATGTAAATACCACAGCGCATACACAAACACATACAAAGTCAACCACAATACTTAATGTCACCTAATAGTGCCCTTACCAAGTGATACTGTACGAGACATCATGAGGTGACCTGAGGTCTTGGGCAGTAGGACTCCAGAGCCTTTAAATCCTGTAAGTAATAAGCCAGGGTCTCCAGGGATTAGATTCATTTTAACAGCTGTTTATTTACTTACCATAGCATCCTATTGTTTGGCAATTGCTCATCTAATTTGGTGATGAATATTACTTACTTAAATATTAAGTGATATGAGTGTTGACACTGATGCTGTGTAACCACAAGTTTGTAAACTGATCCACTGACTTTGTAAGTACCCATAAAGAGGAACAGTGGATGCAAAACACACACAAGAAGCTGAGGAGACACAGTGTCATCCATTGGTTGGAAGGTTAGTGGAACTCAGGCATTACTCTGAACACCATACTGCTCAGGATGGGTAGTAAAGGGCTGAAGTGGGCTGATTTAAGATTAAGAGAAGATGCTTTGAAGAGTTTAAGTAATTTGAGACAAGAACAAGCGTGTGTATCCTAAAAACAGCTCATCTTCATCCATTTCTGCATTTCAAAGCAGCAACATTTTCAGGAAAAAGCTAAAATATAGTTTAACACAGTCATAGTCATTAAAAGCTGATATAACGGAAATGTTTTCCAGTGGCACATTTTTGTCAAGCATCTACAGTTCAGGTAACATTTTTGGAAGAAAGTGACTCCGTGGTTTGAGCCAAACAGTAAAATAACCAATCCATCCATCCATCTAACTCGGGACAGGTCACTCAGGCAAAAGGCACATAGTAGAGGCCCAGACTATTCTCTCCTTAGAAAGTCTCTTTATATCTTACTGGGGGATCGCAAGGTATTCCAAGGTCCGTTGGGATATATAATCCCCCCCAATATGTTTCAGCTCTGCCCTGAAAACCCAATTATCTGCATTAAGTTCAGGCTCTAACGTGGTGGGAGATTGTATCAGTACTCTTAGCAAAGCACATTTCCACTTCTGTGATGCAGGCATAAATGCAGAAATGTAAGCTGATATTTCAAAGCCAAACATAATGCTTTAAAGATGACCTTTTTTCAGGGACAACTATTTTAACAAAACTGTTTCAAACCACATGCTATAGCATTGTCATAGCTTTCAAGAATTAGCTGCAGCCTTGATGTACAAAAATGATGTGTATTAACAGGTCAAATAAGGTGTCAAATAAAGTTGTTGTTTTTTAAAGAAAGAATATGCAAAGAAAAACATTTGCGTTTTTTTATTAAATGTTGTCTGTTAAAATTAATCTAAATCAGTTCAAAATCTGTGAAGAAACAGCTTTTGATATCTGTAATATCAGATGAGTATTTTCTCTCTCTGTCATTCATATTCATACCAAGGAGGGAAAAGGTACAACTGAAAAACCTTCCTGTTTGTCCACTTTGTCTACTCGTTTCAATGAGAGCTCAGATCTATGAGGCCATCTAGGGGACCAAACCCTGAGTTACACTGATTTTAAGATAACAGTGAATCTACTACTAATTGAAGCAAAATTGTCAAATAATAATATAAGAAATGTAATTCTAACTCAGACATAAGCTTTTCATCAGCTTAAAATTTTTGTGTGGCAGCTGTTGAGATCCATACTCAAAATAACCTCTGTAATGTGGGTTGACTGTGTCAAATATATTTGGGTACTATCTTCTATACAATCTTAAAAAGAAAAGAGTAAACACATATCTTTGCCATAATTTTTTCCTCATAAATGTAGTTCTGTAACCAAGTTTTCCAGCTGAATGTGTTCCAGCCGAATGTGTTCACAACCAGAGTTAACCACAGGCATTTTTTTCTGTTAAAAAAAGATAAATCAAAACCTTCAACTCATTTCTTATCAGGGCACGCGTATGGCTCCACCTCACTCCGCACGTGTACTCTAGCTCAGCAAAACCGGCTTCACGGACCTCCCCTTCAGGCCTCCGCCTCCCTATTAATTATCATAGACACGCCCATAATGTCTTTTAAAGGATTTGATTGGTTCTTCTCAAGAGACACTTGCATAGATCTATCTTAAATAGAAAAGCATGCTGCTAGAGTGGAAGCGAGTTACTGCGAATTTAGATGATTTACTACTGGGCTTTTGAAAAAAAAAATGCTGATTGATGTTTTAGATAAACTAAATAACGCTTAGGTTTAGTTTAAATTTAGCTTATAGATTACTACTATTGGTGGAGGGTTATACCATCTGACTTGGTACAAGAATGAATTGAGATAGTTAGACTTTTGAAGCAACGTTTATTCTACAACAATTATTTTTCTTTCTTTCTTTCTTTCTTTCTTTCTTTCTTTCTTTCTTTCTTTCTTTCTTTCTTTCTTTTTCTTCCCGTTTGTTCTTTTTTATTTCCTGTTTCACTCATTGTCAAAATAACGCCGTGTTTTCATTGGACAAATCATCCATGACGTAACCGCTCACCGTCTGTGGTTCTATTTGAACCATTTCTATGGCGGAAGCCGCTGTCAGAGGTCAACGTCCAGGAGTAACCTGCCGTGCATCATCACATCACACCACTCTCTGCCGTTGAGGCGTCTGTAGGAGCACTGTGACCTCACCATGATGCGATTCCCCCCCTCATCATCATTGGGCCGAGATATGTCTGGCAGACACAATTAATTCATCGATTTCTTTCGCTCAACTTTTTTCAGCATTACGTGCCAATTTATCTCCACCGGTAAGTTACGCGTGCCCCCGTTAATATTTGACTAAGCTTTCGGACTGTCCGTTATTGCTTTGCGGTATATTTTATCAGCATGCTAGTGCACGGGGCACCGGTGGGTGGTTCAGACGGCGTTACTGTATCAGTAACCCTCCTCCGGCATTATAACGGCATTAGCGGCTGCTCGGTAAGCTAGCGTGATTAGCATCCGTGTCTCGTCTTAGCTGGAGCTGTCCCACACAGCAGGTGACCGGTTTTGACTTGACAGGTAACGTCAGGTCGACAACACAACAATTACTCCAACAAGAGTTCAGAGGCCAAACTTACTTTATTATTACGCGACGCTCATGCTCATGGCGCGGACGGTTCGGTTTGTTAGCAAGCTAAATGTAGACGTTGCTATCAATTTGTGATGATCCCCTGGTTCACGTTTGCGGCGTGTCTGGTTGTCGTGCTAGGCTTGTTTTTCTGGTCCCACAAGCACCTTTCGGCAGGTAAGGCGTGCCATGCCGGAGAGTCTTCCGTTCTTACTTTTTTAAGGAAAAAAAATACAGAGGTTGGTGAACGTATTGTTTCAACTCGGTGAGACAACGTTTTCAGTCACTACTAATTTTTCATTTAAATTGATTCACGGGTATGTTGTAACTTAACTACGTGGGGTATTGAGTACATTGGCTAAAGGCAGACCATTGAAGACTAACTTTGTGAGCATGTTTTTAAAGGACGATTCTAATTTCTTGCATTTTAAATGGGGTCAAACTAATTTCAGTTTTATTTACTTTTTCTAACCATAGCCTAGATTTAGGGTTTTCATCCATGATCACTAAATCAATAATGACTGGCACAAAATGTGTTTAATCTGTCTGTTCAAATTCAGGGGTTGCAAAATCAACTTTGTGCAACCCACATTTGCAATCTGGCAAGCAGCCCCAGGGTTCAAAGCCAAATATTTCAAAGTGGGCTCTTTCCCTCCTTTATAACTGTTCGCTGTCACTGCTCTGTTACTTTGTCAGTGTTTGCAGCCTGCTCGTGTCGCCCAGCCATGGCACAGCAGGACGGTGCAGCCAAAAAGAACCCCGCTGTTAGGGATTTGCAGTCGAGTTTCCTCGTGGGATCAATATCGGAGGAGAACTCGGAGGATGAAATCCAGGGGAAGGCAGATGTGCAGCTGGAGGAAAAGGAGCCCCGCTCGCTTTCACCATCCTCCGGTAGCTCTGATAGCACCTTTGAAATGGGTTTTGACCACATCGACGGCACCATGCACAATCTAAGGTTTGACACCGGATACGTCTGTATGCTTTTCACTACGTGAACCCCTTCTCTATTATCAAGCCATTAAATGCAATCTAAAGATTGTCTTTAAGGCAATAAATCTAGGGCTAGATTTGAGTTTAAGTGTGAAACAGAGCATGCTCTGTTTGAACAGTGTATGCCTTTTCTATACTGAATAGGTTTTTCATGTGAAAAAAATCTCTACCACGCATTGGGTTTTCTGTTTACTGAGTGTGTTTGGTTGTCTGCAAGAGCCAGCGCGGACATCTGAATGTTGGTTTGGGTAACTTGTAAAGCGCTCGGACAAAGAAATTCCTGATGCAGCAATTGAAGGAGCCTTTTCAGCACTGATGGAACCTTGTTTAAAGTCTGCAGCAGACCTTTTGTATCTCTGCCAATGCTGCCAAAGTCCTTTACAGTGCCTTCTCAGACTCGGGTTCATCACTTTCAAAAACAGGAGCCTGTAATATTTGTCATGTAAAAGCTGAGTTGCTATTTTTGCATGACAACTGGACTGAAACCAAACCATGGGGGTCTTGTGTGGGTAATGCATGGAATTTGTTGAAACTTACTTGCCTCGTGTCAGTTATTGTTGCAGTGATGCAACCGTTCGGTATCAGAGCATAGACACCAACCAGTCCAACAGGCCCAGGCTCTGCCACACCCACCAACAGATAGTCATGTCCCTCCCATACCTTCCCCCCAACCCTCACCACCTCCTGTTGTGGTAGAGCTTGATTTTTTGGAGTTCCACAATTTTAGTCTAAGCTACTAGTCTAAACAAGCACAAAAAAATTACCACCTTAATAAACTAGACTGTTTATTTCCTCCTGCAAATGATTTTTTTTCAGGTTTTGCTTGACATATGATACTGTTGTAGATTTTAATTTCTCAGAGTTTCTTAGATTAACTGCAGACAGTAACATAGAAGATGAGACCCAATAGTCACATCATTTCCTGCTGAGATGGTTTTCTTATCGATATGAATATGAAGCAATTTCAATATTGATTTTTTTTATCATCTGAGGTGTGAATTTGTGTATTTGCATCAAGGTAGTGATGCCACTGGTAATCAATTTAGCTGTGAGCTGTGTAAGGGCTACCATTTGCCTCTTCTTCATCCAAAAAAGAAAATCTTGTCAAAGGCCATTAATCAAAATTCTGTTTCTCAAAACAGACCAAGCATGTCAGGACTGCACTTGGTCAAACAAGGTAGAGATCGCAGGCGAATTGATCTCCAGAGAGACTTTACCGTTGCTTCTCCAGCTGAATTTGTCACCCGCTTTGGTGGTAACAAGGTCATTGAAAAGGTAAGTTTAAATGAATAAAAATGACATAAGCGATGCTCCTGAAAAGTGAAAATCTTCAGTAAAAAGGGAACTAGAACATCGGGAGCATGAGTTGCAATGGCTTGTACAAGTCAAAAGTATTTTTTTAAAACAGAAAATGTACCTCTTCCATCATTTGCAAATTCAGAAAACACGTTTACCTAAAGTCAGCATTAATAATGCATTTGCTTTGCTTATCCAGGTGCTTATCGCCAACAATGGCATTGCAGCTGTTAAATGCATGCGTTCCATCCGCCGCTGGGCCTATGAGATGTTCCGCAATGAAAGGGCAATCCGTTTTGTCGTCATGGTGACCCCAGAAGACCTGAAGGCCAATGCAGGTGAGCTTTTACAATAAGTCTGAGATTAGAATTCATGCAAATGCTTCTATTTACCAGACATGAACACCTAAAGTAACTCCTAAAGACAACTAAAATGAAATATCACTGCAGGAAGATGGCTTGGTGAAAGCAGTAGCTGTGTTTTAAGAAAAAAACTGTGTTTTATTTGTACAATTACAAAGCTGGGGTAAATTAAGAGAGCCTGAAAGGAGATTCTGTGCTCTCGCTTTTGTGGAGTTATGAATCAGAGCATTGTAAGATAAAAAATTCCACAAATGTTTTTTTTTCTTTCACAGAATACATAAAAATGGCAGATCACTATGTGCCTGTGCCAGGAGGAACTAACAACAACAACTATGCCAATGTTGAGCTCATTCTGGATATTGCGAAACGCATACCTGTTCAGGTACCACCTTACCGTTAATGTTCTCATCTGTTATGAAAGGTTACCAGATTAGAATTTCCATAATCATTTGTTTTTTATTTCTTTAGGCAGTGTGGGCCGGTTGGGGTCATGCTTCAGAGAACCCCAAACTCCCAGAGCTTCTTCATAAAAATGGCATTGCTTTCATGGGTAAAGGAGATTGGTCATTTAGTTAACTTTCATGTATTTATACTATTTTATTTAAAATAAATAAATGTTTTATTATTTTGGCAGGTCCCCCAAGTCAGGCGATGTGGGCTCTTGGGGACAAGATCGCCTCCTCAATAGTGGCTCAGACAGCCGGCATTCCAACTCTGCCTTGGAGTGGATCAGGTAATGTTGTTATAGTTTTCATTGAGCCTTGAATACATGACTATCAATCCTTAAAATTACTTACAATTTCACCTGTGTTTTTTATTTATTCATATATCAAGATGCCATTTGTTTGTGTAGTAATCTACTGTGCAAGTAATTGGTGTGTCAAGTCGGATATCCTAAGTTTTAAATAGAAAACTAATTGTACTGTCACAATAAAATAAAAAAAAGTTTTTCCCGTAATCATTTCCTTTCTTGTTTATTTTTTCTTCCAGGCTTAACAGTAGAGTGGACAGAGAACAACCAGAAGAAGAAAGTCATCAATGTTCCGAACGAGTTATATGAGCAGGGCTGCATTCAAGATGTAGAAGACGGCCTTAAAGTAAATTGAACAAATAGGTCATACTGTTTATTGAACTGTTTGTACACATATTTACATGCTCTCTGTGTACCCATTTTACAGGCTGCAGAGAAAATAGGTTTTCCTGTAATGGTTAAGGCCTCTGAAGGGGGTGGGGGAAAAGGAATCCGGAAAGTCAACTGTGCGGATGACTTCCCTAACCTCTTCAGACAGGTGTTGACAAATTTCTGTTGCGTCTTTTGTATTACAGTAGTAGTTTTTCATACCCTTAGTGACTACATTTTTAAATTCTCCGTCGTGGTCTAGGTCCAGGCAGAAGTTCCAGGATCACCCATTTTCGTCATGCAACTTGCCAAGCATGCTCGCCACTTAGAGGTCCAGATTTTGGCCGATCAATATGGAAATGCCATTTCCCTGTTTGGCAGAGACTGCTCTGTGCAGCGACGTCACCAGAAAATTATAGAGGAGGCTCCTGCTACCATCGCCACGTCTGATGTTTTTGAGGATATGGAAAAGGTATGACCATGTAGCAATGGTTCGCACTCATAGTTTGAAAGAAGATATATGAGAAGTTTGGATTAAGTTGATCAAGTTCAGCTTGGATTTGAACGGCTTTGATCTTTTTATAGTGTGCTGTGAAACTGGCTAAGATGGTGGGCTACGTCAGTGCAGGTACAGTTGAGTACCTCTACAGCCAGGACAGCAGCTTCTACTTCCTGGAGCTGAACCCACGTCTGCAGGTAGAACACCCCTGCACCGAGATGGTTGCCGATGTCAACTTGCCTGCTGCACAGCTCCAGGTTAGTCTTACTCACAGGTTTGCAGTTTTTTAACAAGCTAATTGGGTGACATGTACAACCATAAATTCCAAACATAAGCATATGCATGTCTGTGTGTCCCATCGTGGACTCAATATGCAAATTTCACCTCCATGACAGTGCTGACTCATCGCATGTCTCTTATTTCAAAATGCGACTTTGTAGTAGATCATGGGGTTGTAGTCCGATTGTGACATGTCATCTGTTCTGCAGCATTTAGGATTGTGCATAAATAGGTCAGTGGCAGTCAAGCTGAAGGGCTGGGACGGCTTTGTAGACAAGCTGATTGGGTGTTAGAGTGGGAGGGACACTTTCACTGGCTCAGAGGATGAGAGGATCTGTTACAAGCCAGCATGCGTACTGAACTGTCTCCCATTGAATAATCGTTTAAGTTTGTTTTTAAAAATGGAAAAAAATAAACTCTAATGTTCTCATCAGAATCCAACAAAAACCCTTTAATTAAATTCAAAGTATATTCATAATTCAGTATGTGCTGTTAATTCATGTTAGTTTCCAACTATTATAGCCTGTTACGCTTAACATTACCTAGTTCATGTTCTTTTATTTAATTCTAATCACTGTTCTTTCCGTTTTTTGTCAGATTGCTATGGGTATTCCCCTTCATCGGATCAAAGATATTAGGATGCTTTATGGAGTCATGCCCTGGGGAGACTGCCCCATTGAATTTGAGTGCCTGTCGAATAATGTCCCCTCTCCAAGGGGCCATGTCATAGCAGCACGCATCACCAGTGAAAATCCAGATGAGGTACAACTGGGTTCCTTTTTATTTTTCCCCATTTCTGGTCCTGATTAATGCTAAGGGAAGCCCATTGTTATTTCTTCCAAAGGTTACAATGATCTTAATGTCAGTATATTTGTTTTTGCTGCTTTGGTTCAGCATAAGATAATCTAAACTATCCATTGCCGGCGTTTTGTGTATCCGTGTTGTGTGATCGCAGGGTTTCAAGCCAAGCTCCGGAACGGTGCAAGAGCTGAATTTCCGCAGCAATAAGAACGTGTGGGGCTACTTCAGTGTTGCGGCAGCGGGAGGGTTGCACGAGTTTGCAGACTCCCAGTTTGGTCACTGCTTCTCATGGGGAGAGAATCGTGAAGAAGCTATCTCGTGAGTGCACTTTGGGTACAAAAACATTGCAAACCGGTCTAACAGCAGAGTGCAATATTCTAGTATAAGTGGCCACAAACATGATTTCTTTTAATGCTACTAGATTTTAACGCAGCACAATAATTGCACAATCTGGTTTTGTCTTTTTCCAGCAACATGGTGGTTGCTCTTAAGGAGTTGTCCATAAGGGGAGACTTCAGGACAACTGTTGAATACCTCATTAAATTACTGGAGACTGAAAGTTTTCAGCACAACAGCATTGATACAGGCTGGCTGGACCGGCTCATCGCAGAAAAGATGCAGGTACATGAGATATTCCAGCTTTTGCCAGTGGATCCACTTCAGGATCATTTAGGCCATTAGTAGAGACATCCCGTCTCCTTAAGCCTGACTAAATATCTCGCTTGCAGGCGGAGCGTCCTGACACCATGCTGGGAATAGTGAGCGGGGCCCTGCACGTGGCAGATGTCAATCTAAGGAACAGTGTTTCCAACTTTTTGCACTCTCTGGAAAGGTAAACATATCACTCGTTATGTGAAAGTAAGAGTAAAAAGAGATGTGAGAGTATAACCCATTGATTTCTTTAACCAGGGGCCAGGTGCTGCCAGCTCATACACTACTCAACACTGTGACTGTGGAACTGATATACGAAGGTACTAAGTATGTACTGACAGTGACACGTCAGTCTCCAAATTCCTACGTGGTCATCATGAACAACTCTTCGGCTGAGGTGGATGTCCATCGGCTCAGTGATGGAGGTCTGTTGCTTTCATATGATGGAAGCAGCTACACTACCTACATGAAGGAAGAGGTGGACAGGTAAGCCAAAACAAGGCTGATGAACGTTTTGATAATTTCTGTTTCACTCACCAAAAGTTTCTAGTTACGAGAAAACATGATGAGCTTTTCAGTCTTCATATATCTGTTGTGTTCAGCCTAAATGTGCTTTTTTATTTTCTGTATATTGCAAAGGTATCGCATCACAATTGGGAACAAAACATGCGTTTTTGAAAAGGAGAACGATCCGTCGCTGCTGCGATCCCCTTCAGCAGGAAAACTCATTCAGTACACAGTGGAGGACGGCGGGCATGTGTTTGCGGGCCAGTGCTATGCTGAAATAGAGGTGCAGTATTTGCAGTACTTTGTTTTTTCTTCAGAAGTAATATTACAACAAAAAAAAAGAAAATGGTTTCCAAGAATGGTTTCCATCTCTCCACTCTGTTGTATAGATGTTAAATGTCTAGTTTTGAATTTCAGGTAATGAAAATGGTGATGACACTCACCGCTGCCGAGTCTGGCTGTATTCACTATGTGAAGAGGGCTGGAGCTGCACTGGAGCCCGGCTGTGTCATTGCCAAACTGCAGTTGGATGACCCGAGCAGAGTCCAGCAGGTACTATATGCTGTGGGATTCCCTTAATGTGCTATAGAATCAACAAAGATTTGTATAATCTCTGTAAGGTTTAAACTTTTGAATGAACTATGCATGTCTTTGTAGATGATATTAGCCATGGTAATTTAGTGTTTTAAGCACTTTGTTCAGTTTCTTTCTTCTGAAATGCGATATGTGCATTAGAAAATTATTAAGTTATAATTTTCTTAAAAGGCGGAGCTGCACACAGGAGCCCTCCCTATTATTCAGGCTGTGGCTCTGAGAGGGGAAAAGCTGCACAGAGTCTTCCACAGTACGCTTGATCATCTTGTTCACATAATGAATGGTTTCTGCCTGCCAGAGCCTTTCTTCAGTGTTAAAGTAAGAATTTCCGAACACATGACCGCACACTGACATTTGCTCCTCCGCCTGTAATCACTTCCAGACAAACATGTGTTTTCTGTGTCTGTTTCAGTTAAAAGAGTGGGTGGAAAGGCTCATGAAAACTATGCGCGATCCATCTTTGCCTCTGCTGGAGCTTCAAGACATCATGACAAGCGTGTCAGGCCGCATCCCACCTGCTGTGGAGAAGGCCATCAAGAAGGAGATGGCTCAGTATGCCAGTAACATAACTTCTGTGCTCTGCCAGTTCCCCAGCCAGCAGGTGCCCCATCAACCTGTGTACACACATCATGCAAATTCAGTCAGATGAGTGTTCCTCACATGTCAGTCATCTTAATTGCCCTGTCACACACCTACTGCTCGTTTGTCAGTAATTATTTTTAGTTTCTGTTATCTTCATTTAGAAATAAAAGGCTGATTTAATTCAGTATATGTGGCTAAAATAGGAATCTTTTGAAATACTTGTAAAAATGTGTTAAATGGCTTGATTAAGAGCTATGAATAAGCATTCTCAATTATGGAGTTACTTTGTAGGCGGCTTTGGACAAAAGCGTTTGCTAAATGCATAAACATAAACTTAACACTCTGTGGCTTGTTCGTATGCATGTCCATTTACATGAATTGTTTGCCCAGGATATCACATTCAGTTGTCTCTGCACATTTTAGATATAACATGAACATGTCCAACAAGGAATGTGTTAATGCCACTGGGATTAAATGCTTATGAGCCACCACTGCTGCTGGGATTAAATGATGATTATCTCTTCTTTGTTTGCAGATTGCAAATATCTTGGACAGCCATGCTGCTACTCTAAACAAGAAGTCAGAGAGAGAAGTCTTCTTTATGAACACACAGAGCATTGTTCAGCTGGTGCAGAAGTGAGCCACATAGATTATACAATATCTTACAAATTTTGCACACTTTGTCCATATGTTTAATCAAAAGGGTGCACCAAAACTATGGTTTATGAATAATTTACTATTTAATGTCTGCATTCCCCAAGAAGTTTAAGGCAAACATTATGTGAAACAGCTGTTTGTCTAAGCCCAGTATATTTCACCACGTCTCGTCCAGGTATCGCAGTGGCATCCGAGGCCACATGAAGGCTGTGGTGATGGACTTGCTCAGGCAGTATCTGAAAGTAGAGATCCAGTTCCAGAATGGTGAGGATCCTCTTTTATGTATAGTATTTTATTTAGGCTTTGCTGTGCAAAAATGTCTTCCAGAAGCAGTGTTGCACTGACGTTCTCTCTCCTTTTGGTGGAGCTCTTTCACCTCAGTTCTGCAGCACAATTTGTTTTATATTTCAATAACACTCTTGCTGGTCTGTCAACAGGACACTATGACAAGTGTGTGTTTGCACTGCGAGAAGAAAACAAAGGGGATATGGCCAATGTCCTGAACTACATCTTCTCTCATGCTCAAGTCACCAAGAAGAACCTCCTAGTTACTATGCTAATAGTAAGTGGCCTTTCTTAATGAACAGTTTAGACTTCTTTATGCTTTTGTCACAGTGGATTTATTGCTTTAGTCCAGAGAACAATCAAGTTGTGGTCATATTGTAATTTCAATAGGACATTGATTTTGTTTTCTTTACATAAGACAGTACGGTTTATGTATGTCTAAGTTTATGTTTGTAAAAAAAAAAAATTCTTGAAGAAAGACTTATAGGGTGCTCCAATATTTGCAATGATTATAATAAAGATGAAAATTAGAATAATGCCAATGATGAAGTGCTATACCTCAGCAGAATTGATGTTATATCATTTGATGTGTCCAGGACCAGCTCTGTGGCCGCGATCCCACTTTAACAGATGAACTCATGACCATTTTGACTGAACTGACGCAGCTCAGCAAGACAACCAATGCCAAGGTGGCACTGCGAGCTCGTCAGGTAAGATTTGGGGTCCTAACTTCTTTTGACACTACAATGATCATTTCTCCACCAGATGTCACTGTATGCCTTTTAATGAGGCAGAAAGTAGTGGTAACATTATTTATTAAGAGTGAACATTTTTGATAATAGAAACACTAAGATAAAAGGTTTTTTGATTGCACCTTTTTATAATTATTATCTACAATAATTTAGAGATGAAACCATATGGAGTTAAGTACGGTTAGCAGATGTAAAGGGGGGAAAGTAAAGTATATGTAGTGTTTGTAGTCTATCTTCTCCCTTTAAAGACCACATTAATCTTACTCAGGTGCTGATAGCTTCCCACCTTCCCTCCTATGAGCTGCGACACAACCAGGTGGAGTCCATCTTCCTCTCTGCCATTGACATGTACGGACACCAGTTCTGCATTGAGAATCTACAGGTAGGCAGTCAACTAGAGGGATGTCCATTGCCGGTCTGTTGCTCCTTTGTGGTCAAAAAGTGAATAATCTCATTTTTCCACCACGCAGAAACTTATCCTTTCAGAAACTTCCATCTTTGATGTTCTGCCGAACTTCTTCTACCACAGTAATCAGGTTGTCAGGATGGCTGCCCTCGAGGTGAGAGGAATAACGATCTCTCTGTCAAAATCACTTTGCCTGAACTTTTATTTTGCACAGTTTGTGGTGCTTCACACAACTGACATTTTCCTTACCTCATCTCTAATGATCTTAGGTGTACGTTCGCAGAGCATACATTGCGTACGAGCTCAACAGTGTTCAGCATCGACAACTCAAGGACAACACATGTGTAGTAGAGTTCCAATTTATGCTTCCCACCTCACATCCCAACAGGTATCACACATGAAATTCACACATGAAAATGCCTACAACACCCACGTGTTATGTGTTGTTTATTTCCCTTCTCTTGCCCTGCCCCCACCCACCCAACCACCTACCCACCCACACCCAGATGGCACCATGGACTCGACCTAATGGTCGTGGCAAAGATGCTAGCCCATTGCTAAATATTTTCTCATTTCTTAAAGTATAATGTATTGAATTTATATTATTGTTAACATAATTGTGTGGAAGACTTTTCTCCTGTAGACTACAATTTATTTTTAAATTCAAATCATTTCTGGCATAGGTGAAGATGAGCTGTGGAAACACAAAGCCAAAACCATATCAAACCATAACCAATTTGTCAACCTGGAAAAAATACAGTATGGTAACATTTAAAACTCACCACTGCTAAAAAGATTTATGCAGACTTGTGATCATCCATGGTGCCATGGTTTCCCCCCCATTCCCAGCAGTTTCTTGTTAATTGTTTTCCATTTGATGGCCCTCGTGCAAATTAATGTACTTGGCAAGGCTGAACGTAATTCTTTTGGTTTGTCGAAAGTGTGAGTGCCATGAGCAACACTTCCCAGCCTCAAGTGAACCGGTTTTCCTTGTAACTACGTAGAGAAAGCCATTCTACATAATGTCAAACATGAGAATCAAAGAACTTGAAAAAACAAACAAACAAAAAGAAAGAAAACAATCAGACAACAGAATTATCATGTACACGCTCAGCATTTGAAAATGCTTTAAACAGGCGTCATACTGTGGCATTTCCCATCAGGCTCATGTTTTGCGTCCCACCCATGTGGTTTTGTTTGCTTTTTTTGCTCCGTATGCGTACGTCTGTGTGGCTCACGGCTCCTGTGCAGAGCCACTGTTTCTCATGCTGTGTGGGTTTCAGTTTGTTGTTAGCCTGTGAATGCCATTATGTTCCCATTCTTTTGCATGCTCATCGTTTGCTGTGGCTGAATTAACCATAATGACTCGCTTATCACTGTGAGATGCACACCAGCATGGGAGTGTTATGTTACTTTCTCTCTTAGTTCAGAGTGAATCTCAGGATAAGGATGACTTTAGATCTCATAATGCATGTTTTAAGGGTAGCAGTCAGGAAGTGGAATGTGTGCACTTTATCTTCCATTCATATATTCACTCAATCCATGATGTTGATAAATACAAAAACCAAAACGCGCACATTAATACAGACATTCACAAACGTTGCTCCACCTTGACTGTCTTCCTCTCCTGATGCCTGAGACTAACCACGTAGTAATCGATGTTGTTTGATTGCAGAGGGAACATCCCCACTCTAAACAGGTATTGTAAACATTTTTTATGTATAGAGTACTAATGACTCTAGTTTAGCCATATGCATGATCCAGGTCAAGTTAAATATTTGAGTCATTTATCACTCAGTTGTTGGAACTTCAACAGTGGGGTGTTTTTAACTTGCCAAATTGAAACAGAAATAGTAACTCGATGCAATGTAAAGTAAATGCAATGTATGATTTTACTGACAACAGCATGGCCCATGGCATTCACTGTTCATGTCAGATTTTTTATTTTTATGTCTGTTTGTCATGAGAAACAAGTGTTTTAATCCTAACTGCTGTGGGCAAGTGCCTCAGTATTTGGGGTTTAGACTTAAAACGGGATTAATTGTATTTATTTTTTTAACATACAACAGTTCTGGGTAGAATGTGCACATGTAAAAATATCCAGAACTGAGCCCTCTAACTATCCTACCAGGAAAATGCCTGCTCCAGTCCAAGACAATGTAAAAGCCACGGACACTAAATTAAAGGAACCCAGACCACAGGATCTTAAAACAGAAGATAGTGAATCTAAGGATGGTAGTACAGAAAAGACAAATACCTCAAATTTGGAATCTGTGGACAGGTTTGACTTTAAAAATAACTCTTTCCTGCTTACACATTCGTGGTGCAATTTCTGGGATGCCCTCCTACCACCATATGACTAACACCAAATGTAATATAAAACACAATTACCTAAAGGGTCTCTGGTGGATTTTTGCTTCTTCGTTATCTTGAAATGAATATCATCTTTCTTTTAATTGGACTAACACTGGGTCAGTCAAAAGACAATTGGATACTGTAATGCTGCTTTCAATGTCTTCATGTCTCCGGGTGGAATCTTATTCAACTTTTTAATGTTTGAACCTCGTTCAGTTTTTATTCCTCAATCTAAGGAATTAAGTTGTTTTAATTATACACTGTATTTTTTCATTGTATCAAAAACTACAAAAAAGCAGAGGAATCAAAACTATTGAGAGGTTTGTAAAGCTGGAATGGGGATACCTGCACAGAATTGGTCTTTGGGCATTTCAGATCCTCATAATAGCTGTACTTTTTCTGCTCCTCAGGATGTCCTTCTCATCCAACCTGAATCACTACGGGATGGTCCATGTGGCTAACGTGAGCGATGTCCTGCTTGACACATCTTTTACTCCTCCATGTCAGCGCATGGGAGCAATGGTCTCTTTCCGTTCCTTCCAAGAGTTCACACGGTCAGTGCCTGAGTGAAAAAAATATAAATGAAGATGTCTCTTTAATAACAGGATGCATATGTTGGATTTCTGAGAAGTCTGAGAAATATATTGTATGATATATTTACTTCACAGGAACATAACTGATGTGTTGAGCTGCTTCTCTGACTCTCCTCCTCCAAGTCCAACCTTCCCTGATGGAGGCAATCCGGTGCTGTACGGGGAAGAGGACAACAAGGTGACAAGGGCAGATTGCTGCTAATTGAAGACACTCGATGCCCCTGTATTTCAGTCTCATTTAGATTAAACAGGGTTTTTGCTTTTCATTCAGAGCGTCCAGGATGAGCCTATCCACATCCTCAATGTGGCCATAAAGACCGACAGCGACATTGACGACGATGGCCTTGCTTCCATTTTTCGGGAGTTTACACAATCAAAGGTGAGCGCTGTCACAGTAGCAAGGCATTTGTTTATTGCGGCTAAAGGAGATCAATAAAGTCATTCCATCAGATCCTTACTGTGATTACATTCATTTGCCTTCCAGAAATTGCTGCTGTTTGAACATGGTATCAGGAGGCTAACTTTCCTTGTTGCTCAAAAGGTGAGGATTCTAAAAGATATTTTCCATCGCCACCATGCTCTCTCAAAACCCCCTGCCATTGCACTCCACCAATTACCCAGTTGTTAATGGCATGGATGGAAATGTCGCAGACAAACCAAATCTTGCATCTTTCTTTCTGTAGCTACTAATTTTGAATTTCAGAAGAATTTGTATGTCTGTATTAATTGTACTAATAATTTGCATCTGAAATTCAGCCATTCCCGTTTCTCTCTATATCTCTTTCTGCATGCCTGTCTTTTGCTGCCTTTCTGCTGACAGGATTTCAGGAAGCAGGTCAACTGTGAGGTAGACCAAAGATTCCACGTAAGTACTGGAAGACGCATGAAGTCTTTGACTTTGTGATCACTTATTATGACTCAACTTACACGGGAAATGCATATGATTTACTCAAACAGCCAGGTCCAAAAAGGCCTCTTTTGTCACTTTTTTCTTAATCATTTGAATGCTATATAATTACATTTTTACATAACATCGATCCCCCAGAACATATGATGCTGGTTAAGGGAGTATTGTCGTAGTGTATGGCTGCAGGGTGGTGAGAGTGCATAAATAAGTGTCAAAGCGAGTTCTTTTCCCAGCAGATTATTGCACTGGATCAATCAACAATACATCTAAAAAGAAATAAGATTTAATCGAGCCGTGCTACCTTGAATAAAAAAAACAAAGACCGAATCATTAAGTATTTCAGTTTATTTTGAAATTGACAAGCTGTCAATTAAAGCTGTCTTTACTATTAGCTCACTGCATAGATAATGTCATTTGTAAGTGACACATTTTGTAATAGATACCCAGATTGCGTCTGAACCCCCAATCATGGCAGTTTTGTGAATAAACATTTATTGGGTTTTCCAAAATGTGAACGCTAATCTAGAGATCACCTTATAACATGGAGAAAATGAGGATGAGAAGCTAGATTATATTTGTGGAAATGCCCAGTTCTTTCGCACCTGTTGTTATTTTAACAATACCCTTTGATTTTCTTTTACAGCATCACTGTCTAATGAGATGTAATCATGCCCACTGGCCTCTATTACAATAATTGTCTTTCATTTGTTTGCACCATTATTCATGTCCAGTATTTTCTGTATAAAAGATTTTCCTACCGCACGCTACAAGGTGGAGTGAAAATGGTACATAATCACAGTGTCAAATCATAGCTCTGGAGGTCTGCACCATGCATACTGTTGCAGCTCTCATCACTGTGTAGGCTCTGAGTTGAAAAGAGCATATCCAATCGGTCTAGCATTGTTTTGGCAAGTAGGGCACTTGAATTTGATAACGTCTACCGGGGGCCACCAGGCATTATTCAGTGGATCACATGTCTCTGAGGAAAGTGAATGTCTTATTCATGAGCATAGTGAGTTCTGCTTGAATATTTAGACCGTTACTGTTTTGTTGATTGCTTTCTGCTGTAGAGTGATTGTTAGAAGGAGATAGGAGGACGAGATGTTCATTCTACATATAAAAATGGGTGCTGGTCACGGCTTTAAACTCCATCATAACATGCTGTTCATCTGTCTGCATTTGTCCCTTTTTTGTATTTTTTATATACACAGAGGGAATTTCCAAAATTCTTCACATTCCGTGCCAGAGACAAGGTAGGAGTGTACACAACCGTCAGTATTACTGAAAGGATCTATCTTTGAAATCAACGTTTCTTACATTCAAAGCCAAAAATCAACATATTTTAGAATGTATTCAATTAACTGACTTAATATTATGACATCAATATGTCATAATGATAAAAAGAGAGATTAACTATCACCGCTCTCTCAGGCATATCTTGATTTTATCCCTTCTCTGCCAGTAATGGCCTTGCTCTTCAGTACTCCTGATTGTTTCTGTGCAGTGACACTACTAAAACTCATTACCGTAATGAACTTTTTAATTATGTCCCTTATTTAAGAGAAATGACTCCCATTACCACCTTTCTAAGACTGAGATTGTTCAGGATTTCATTTACTTAATACAGTATGTGGCTCAAAGGCAAGTTGTTACTTCTGCACCAGGCCAGTGCCAACATCATTTCCCACTGCTCCTTCTGCCAATAAAAAAGATTATTAGCAGTTACCTGTGGACAAAATGTTTCAGAAAAAAAATCACCAGTAACTTTATAGTGTCCTTTAACAGTCCCACCTGTTTCCCAATAGTTCGAGGAGGACAGGATTTACCGGCACCTGGAGCCAGCATTAGCATTCCAATTGGAGCTCAACCGAATGCGCAATTTTGCGCTAACTGCCATCCCGTGTGCCAATCACAAGATGCACCTGTACCTGGGTGCAGCTCGAGTCGAAGTGGGCACCGAAGTCACAGACTACCGTTTCTTTGTCCGAGCCATTATCCGCCACTCCGATCTGGTCACAAAGGTGAGAACAGAGTGGAACAAAGAATGTTTATTTGTAATAAATAGTTTTTTTGTTTGTCCTTAAGGGCTTTTATGTTTCTAAAATTCTAATATGTACCTACCAAAAGTCTAAATGTTTCTACAAAATGGTTTGTTTACTCAATAGGAAGCTTCTTTTGAATATCTTCACAATGAAGCCGAGCGGCTGCTGCTGGAAGCCATGGATGAACTGGAGGTGGCTTTCAACAACACAACTGTAAGAACGGACTGTAACCACATCTTCCTGAATTTTGTCCCTACCGTCATCATGGACCCGTCAAAGGTTTGCAAAAAAAAGTCAAACGCGCATCTCTCACAGAGAACATTGTCGTGGGAGTTTGCTTCTTACTAATCTTTCCCCACAAACCCCAGATCGAGGAGTCTGTGCGTTCCATGGTGATGCGCTATGGCAGCCGCCTGTGGAAGCTGCGTGTCTTGCAAGCTGAACTGAAGATTAACATCCGACTGACTCCAACAGGAAAGCAGATTCCCATCCGCCTCTTCCTTACCAATGAATCAGGCTACTACCTGGATATCAGCTTGTACAAAGAGGTCACTGACTCCCGAACGGGACAGGTGGGGCCCAAAGACAGACAGGTGGGGCACTCATACATTTTCCATCTCATCTGTTTGTTTTCCAGTTTTGGGCTTAGAGCTACAGGTCCAACCTGGAAACCTTGATTCTTGCAAGGCATTTTTTTTGCTCCCTTGAGTTAAGATTTTTTTTTGCTTCTTTTTTTTTTATATACAATACATTATACAATGAGAGATGTAATCCAGTATGGGGTTTTCTCTTTAGCCCGCTGGGCAATCCTTTTAGTAATATGTAATATGTCTCTTCTCACAGTAGATCAGGTAAGATACACTTCATCCAGCAAAAGCCATCCATCCATCCTTTATCCATTCCTAATAAGTTATTGTTGAAGAGACAAAAGAAAAAAAGAAAGACCATTTTGACCATGCACATTTCACATTAAATCTTTCCGTTTTTGAGTTATTGCCGTTCTGTTCTGCACCGGTTTAATTTTCTATGAAAAAAAAAGTCAATCTGGGCAGGTTAAATAATTTAAATCTTGACGATTGTTTAGGAGGGTGTTTGATTTTAATTTGTTTGTCATCAGTCATCATCATGAGTCTTTTCATCCCAATCCCCGGGGCAGTTTACATTAAAACTGTAAAGTAGCTCATTTCATCCTTTTTTTTTTCTTTTCTTTTTTCTAGATCATGTTCCAAGCATATGGAGATAAGCAAGGGCCTTTGCATGGCATGCTTATCAATACTCCCTACGTCACCAAGGATCTGCTGCAGTCCAAGCGTTTCCAGGCACAGTCTCTGGGCACCACTTATGTCTATGACTTTCCAGAAATGTTCAGACAGGTAAAGTTTAAAAACTTAAATCTTTGGGGTTCCGCTTCATACTGCTTGCAAATATATTGCATGATTGATAACTTTACTTTGTCTCTCAGGCCCTGAAAAAGATCTGGCACGCCAGTCAGACATATGCCCACTTGCCCAAATGCCCTCTCCCATCTGAGCTGCTTACCTTTACTGAGCTGGTTCTGGATGCTCAGGATCAGCTGGTGCAGATGAACCGCCTCCCAGGGGGGAATGAGGTAAGTGTTAAACTATACATATGACCAATGCCTTTTAAAGGTGGAAATTTTAGACCATTTTTTTTGTCTACCCACAATGTATTTTTTTAATGTACAAGTCCCCTTTGTGCCCTGTAGGTGGCTCTGTGTTTCTTTGGTTCTGTGTTGAGCTCTTGTTAGAAACCTACTGGTGTTGTTGTACAGGGCTATGAAAGTTTACAATATCAAATAAAATCTGTGTATTGTGCTGGTATTTAAGATCAAATTTGAAACCAGGTGCACAAGCTTAATCCTATCTTTCCATTGCATTGATAAAAAGTGAGGATTTCCAGTATTGCTATTCATAGATAGATAGACATACTTTATTTATCCCAAGCTGGGAAATTGCTAAATTCATAACCTATTGGTCTTAATGCTTTGCTTCTGTTTTTTCTGACCAGATTGGTATGGTGGCATGGCGGATGACCCTACGGACTCCAGAGTATCCGGGAGGACGTGAGATCATTGTCATAAGTAATGATATCACACACAAGATAGGCTCATTTGGACCACAGGAGGACATGCTATTCCTGCGAGCCTCAGAGATGGCTCGAGAGAGTGGCATCCCTCGCATCTACATCGCAGCCAACAGCGGCGCCCGCATTGGCTTGGCAGAGGAAATCAGACACATGTTCCACGTGGCCTGGCAAGATCCAGCTGATCCTTACAAGGTCAGCCAACAGAGTATCACACTCCCCCTAAACCCTCTCAAATTGAAATCTTTTAAATCCGGTTACCAGAAATCCATCATGTAGTATTTTTTTAGACTAAACTGCTTTAAAAAAAAGATTTGCGAGTACATTTTTTTCCATATTTACTCCAACCATATCCACAAAATATAGCCCCTGTCATCTGTTCGAGACATCCTCTGGGTATTAAATTATTTCATAAAATGTGGCAAACATCATCTGTAGCTGCCCATTGTTCTTCCCTTTAAAACAACAAAACACAACTTGCCTTTTCTAATGCCTGTTTTAATTAAATGGTTATGGCTATATCCCCTGCAGGGTTTCAAGTATCTCTACCTCACACCTCAGGATTATAAGAAGGTCTCAGCTCTGAACTCTGTGCATTGTGAACATATAGAGGACGAAGGAGAATCCAGGTACTTATTTTGATTAATTTTTTTATTTGTGCATTTTTTTTCCCAAGTATGCATCATTTTTCTGTGAGCTTCAAACAGAAGAGATGTTATGTGGATAAATATAGGGAGTCACTTTTGGTTTTAGATTAATAGGGTATATATATATATACATATTGTCATGCAGGTACAGAATCACTGACATCATTGGAAAAGATGAAGGGCTGGGTGTGGAGAATTTGAGAGGATCTGGAATGATTGCTGGAGAATCGTCTCTAGCTTACGAGGAGATCATCACCATGAATCTGGTAAGACTGATTTTTAGAAAAGCACGTTCATACATCTTGCGTGCTCTTCACCCTTGAGCTATAAATTTGTTTGATCATTCTACAATGACCCACGTCATACAACGAGTTCATAAGCTGACATGTGGTTAGTTTGCAAATACTCACAGGGTCTCTATGGTTGTTTGGTCTCATAGGTCACATGCCGAGCCATCGGCATCGGGGCTTATCTGGTGAGGCTTGGACAAAGAACAATTCAAGTGGACAACTCTCACATTATTCTTACAGGAGCTGGGGCCCTCAACAAGGTAGCACTCAACTACAATAACGATTTATATTTTTCGCGTAGTGCAAAGACGGTGTACATTGTTATGTGTCAGTCATGATGCACAATGAGTATTGAATAAGCCATCTCTGAAATTACACAAATACCAAATCTGTATTTTCATCAGAAGATCTCCAGAATGATTTGTTAGTTATGGCAATGTATTAAGAGCCATTGTGGCAGGAAGGTCAAACAGGTGTGTGTTGGATTAGAACACTATCTTTATATTTATTTTTCGGTTAAAGTAAACAGATTCTTTGGAAGTAAGTAAATTGGAAGGCAAATTATGTCTACATCTGTGCATGTGTAACAAAGAGAGAAAATTATAGAAGTCCACTATGTTTTTTGCGGCATGTTCCAACTCGCTGAACGGACAATTTCCTTTTGCCTTGCTCTGTTCTACAAGGATTCCCTCTTCCGATCCCAGCCACAGGCCCGCCTGCCACTCAAAGTGGAATAATTGAAAGCGAACCATGAAGTTGTATTTGCATAGAAATAGAGCGACATGCCAGAGGCTACAGAGCAGGACACCCATATCATTTGTTTTTAATCAAAATGAAAAGTTTTGCTGATGCAGATTGTTTTTCTGCATACAGTCGATTGGTTTCAGCGTGTGTGTGTGAGTGTGTGTGTGTGTTGTGTGCGTGTGGCTGCCTGCCTGCTTCACTACCTCTCCTGTCTTGCTTTCTATTCTATGTCCTTGTCAGTGCATTAAGATGACTCCATTTCAAATTAGATGACAGATTGCAGCAAAGTAAACTATGCAAATGACCCACTGATAGCACACCTATTTTCCTGGCACCTTAATTGTGTTTAGATGGCTCCTCTGTTAAGCTGCATGTGTTGGAGCTGCACTATTTACTTGCTAATGTCCACAATGAAGATTTGCAATGTATAATTTATTTGCTATTATTTGTCCGCATTACTTATTTGTAAGTTAAATGCTTAGAAAGTGATTTTTGCTGCAATACAGATGAGAAGTCGGGTTGTCTGTTATGTGGTTTCTTGGCTGTTAACTGAAACTTAATAGGGAGTAGCTGGCTGCTACCCAGAGATCATCATTTCATTATCTGCTGGAAATCGGTCATATTTTCATGGGGAGTGGATAGTAACTACTTGCACAAATACCCCAGTGAGCTGTTACTACCAGTTGGACCCTTGTTTTCATCCTCCCAGTCATCTCATTCTTTTCCTGTATCTCCTTCTCCTCTCTCTGCCATGGAATCTTAATGAAGCCAACGATGGCCAGAGGCACAGGGGTTTTGTGTATGTCAAGGTGACTGTAATGTTTCTTGGGGCTGCCTTCCCTCCTGACAGCTTTAGGAGAGTGTCCTAGATTTGTAGCCAGATACATAACCATTAATGGTAATAAAGAAAGTAAATGATGGCTGAAAAGGTGAGAACTGAGGGTAGGAATTGAGCTCCACTCTGATTTTTATGGAACCATGTCAGCGGCCAGCCACCTGTTCTCAGCTGCTATGAAAATAGGGTGGGCTGGAAGTGAGATTTTATGGCTTTAGGTTAACATTGGGAGCATTTGATGAAAGCAGTTCAGTGAGTTCCAACCTACTCCTCCAACAGTGTGTTGTACAGATAATGAATTAATTGCTCAAAACACAACAGCACAATGGATCTAAACCCGGTTTGTTACTACACATCTTAATTTAAAGTTAATTTATGTTGGTGGAGAAAGGGCCTGTGTTAATTCAGCTTCAATAATATTCTATAGAAACTAAACAGGGAACAACTGCATTAATAAAGCCATTGGTATTTACCTTGTTTGTGTGATCTTGCTGAGCTCATATATATATATATATATATATATATATATATATATATATATATATACACACACACACATATATGTGTATGTGTATATGTAGTTGTGACAATAGCTCTTGTACTCAGCTGGTGTTGGAAATGATTGTTTTCCCTCAGTAGCAGACAAGAGTGTTGTTGTTTTTTTGTTGTAATTTTAATTGACTTTTTATTAAAACAAGCTACAAATTGCTCCTGTGTTGAAAACGGAAACACTTAATTAATTGCAAGATCAACTACTGCTGTCATGTTTGTCGTTTGTCTATGTTAGGTCCTTGGCAGGGAAGTGTACACATCAAACAACCAGCTCGGTGGGGTTCAGATTATGCACAACAACGGTGTGACCCACTGTACAGTCTGTGACGATTTCGAGGGAGTCTTTACTTTGCTGCTGTGGCTGTCCTACATGCCCAAGGTAACACTTTAGAATGTGACTATTTCACTCATTTGAAATGAAAGAACTTCTCCATTTTAAAATGCTCTTTCTTTTTGCAGTGTAACTCCAGCCCAGTTCCCATTCTCCATGCCAAGGATCCCATAGATCGGCTGGTGGAGTTCATCCCTACGAAGACTCCTTACGACCCTCGCTGGATGTTGGCAGGGCGTCCCAGCCAGAGTGGGTGTCTTTTGTAAAAATCTTCTTACTTGGTATTTCAGGCATATTATGGTGTATGAATGCATGACCTAAAAAAAAAGTAAAATGAAGTCCGTTTGTTTGAGATGGTTATTGCCTGAAAAAACTTAGATAAATCTCCGAAGATGTATTAATTAATCAATTTATAGATATTTGTCATTTATCCAGACATTTTTGGGGAAGTGATATGGAAATGGGCCACTGTTAAGACCATGTACTTTAACATACAAATAGGACTTTAAATTATTTGCATCTTATATAAACATATTCTGATTATTATGATGGAATATTGCTGTGAATGTACACATGGCCGTACTTTGTTCTGCATATGCGTTATGCTAAAAATGAGTTAGTATTGAGTTAGAAAGCATTGAAGCTCAGTCTGAAGATAATGTATTCACTTTTATTCACCTCACTATTTTTCCTCTGCTAATCATCATTAATGCTTTCTCAGCTGTTATTAAAAGTCGTGTTATTTAAAGTAATATAAAGATTTATCATTTCAGCCTCATGTCCCAAGAGTTAAAGGTTGAAATAATTCATTACAAGAGGGAGGCTATTAAGAAAGTGAGGGTGTAGCTTTAACATCACACAGTTAAAGGCAAGATCACCACCAAAAAATTGATGTGGTGTGTTTTACACTCTGATACTTAGCAAGTTCCACATCAGTGTAATTACAGCTGGGATTGCAAAGAAAGCAGGAGACCTTGTGGGAAGCCAGTTAAAATATCTGGGAAGCCAGTTATCATCTTAAGTCTTACCAATAGTCTCTAGTGATGATTGGTAAGACTTCATTAAATGGTAACCTCAAAGGCTGGTCATGTTTCTTAGGATGTGCTTGAAGAGAATGAGCTGAGCAGGTCTACTTAAAGTCATTCATCATAGTTGCTGCAAAGACTACAGATTCTCAAGAAGACAAAAAACACCAAGGCCATGACTGTGTAGAGTGCAAAGTCAGGGATCCCAAAAATAGCAGAGAATGGATTCAGTCACATTAGGTGTTATCATTTCCCAAAAAATTAACCCTGCTCTGTGCACTCACTGTTTTAACACCCTACTCCCTCTCTGTGTGCAGCACCAAAGGGTTCCTGGCAGAGCGGCTTCTTTGACCAAGGCTCTTTCATGGAGATCATGCAGCCATGGGCTCAAAGTGTGGTGGTAGGCAGAGCTAGGTATGTTTAAAAAAAATCAAGTAATACTTTTTCCACCAAAGAGAAGCCTGTTAACTTTTCAGAAAGTTGTCAAAGTATGTGGAGCTGCTGAATGGTTTCTATTTACAGACTGGGTGGGATACCTACTGGAGTGGTTGCTGTGGAAACCAGGTCAGTGGAGCTGTCAATCCCAGCCGACCCAGCTAATCTGGACTCTGAGGCAAAGGTAAAGGCTGTTTAAGCAAGCGGGTCCTGTCATTTTTACAGCTATTATATTACCATTGCTAATTTTTAATGTGTACATTTAGATCATCCAGCAGGCGGGACAGGTGTGGTTCCCAGATTCTGCTTTTAAAACAGCCCAGGCCATTAAGGACCTGAACAGAGAAGGCTTACCCCTCATAGTATTTTCTAACTGGAGGGGCTTTTCTGGAGGAATGAAAGGTATTCCTGCTTCTTGAGTAATTTGTAAAAGGTATATTGATCCCATAAATAATTCTGTGACATTATTCTTTAAAGATATGTACGACCAGGTGCTGAAGTTTGGGGCCTACATTGTGGATGGACTGAGGGAGTACAGGCAGCCCGTTCTGGTTTATATTCCGCCCCAGGCCGAGCTGAGGGGCGGCTCTTGGGTGGTTATCGATCCCACCATCAACCCCCGCCATATGGAGATGTATGCTGATAAAGACAGCCGGTGAGGTTAACCGAACAAGAGACTGTTTAATTAATTTGTGTCAAATCAGCTTTTGTTGACTTGAATTGTTGTCTTCTTCAGAGGTGGGGTGCTGGAGCCTGAAGGAACAGTAGAGATCAAGTTTAGGAAGAAGGATCTGGTGAAGACCATGAGAAGAGTAGATCCAGTCTACATGGGCTTGGCTGAAAAACTTGGTCAGTTTTTCCTTCCAGTTCTCATTTACTCTTTACAGTTGTCTTTGTCCCCTGCAGTTTTGTCCTTATTTTAGAGGAGAAGGTAGGCCCATATGGGCCTTACTGTCCTCCTTTATTTGGTGTTGATTGTGTCATCTCCAGTGTGCTCTCCTGGGAGACGTGTCAGTCACAGACCGCTCAGATCAATCACAAATGACTACTGAGCAGATATTGATTTTCATTTGGTCCAATGCTACATTGGATTGGTGCTTTGGGCAAAACTAGTGGAGTGGAGGTTTACGGCAGAGTGCTGGAGAGTGTACAGATTGGAAATGACAGGAATCAGCAAGAGGTTTGGGGAGCTTCACAACAAAATGGTGTGAGATGAAGCTGATTTCCAGCTGGATTCTCATGCATAACTTGAACTGATAATAATGGAATTAAGATATAAGAACAGGTGGTGGGAATTATGTGGAAATGCTGTGATTGGATGTATATTTTTGTCTTTCACATCACATTCTCTATCTTCATATTCTATTAACATTTAATGAATGATGCATTCAGCTTTCAATTTTCTCAGCAGTGTTTCATGTATAATTTTTTAAACTCCTAAAGGAACCCCAGAGATGAGCCCATCGGATCGAAAAGAGTTGGAGACCAAGCTTAAGGAGCGCGAAGAGTTCCTCTTGCCGATCTACCACCAGGTAGCTGTGCAGTTTGCAGACCTCCACGACACCCCGGGTCGCATGCAAGAGAAGGGCGTCATCACGGTGAGAATTGGCTCAATCTTGTGTGCCATGTATTGCTTCAGTATAAATGTGCAGTACGTGAATAACCTGAAAAGCCTATGGGCACTATCAATCTATCTGCCTCTGCACCTGCTTAGTGAATAATGTTTGGTCTCAGCAGGCTTCAAGACTAGTCCTCATAATTATCTTCTGATGACCCTGGTCAATCACCTTAGCAACTACCGAACAGCCTCAGGCAGTCCCCATCTCATTCTTTGCCTTTACAGTCCCATCTTTCTCACACACATACACACACACACACTCTTTTCTCACATGACTAGAAGGGAGTTTCGCAGATGGATGACAATTAGTGTTTCTTTTTTTTTTCTTTTTCCCACACACAGTGCATCAAGAAGACTGCTATCTGTGCTTGACCTCATGCTTACCTCGAAAAACGCCAACAGAATTCTGTGATAATTGATTCTGAAAGGACATCCTCAGCTTTCTGATTCACTCTGATCACTCGAGGACTTTTTTTTCCTCTTATGCAGTAGTCATCTATTAACTGTACCGTTTTTTTTTTTTTATATCCATATAGAAAAATGAAATCAGTTTCTTTTTATTTGTAATTTTAAAAAGAACTGCATTTTCTTCATCAGGAAATGTTCAACTGTTTCAGTCTGAACAGAGCAGCATCAAAGGAATGAATAAGGAGGAATATAAACCCGTATTCTGTTTTAAACTTGCATTTTGGCATTGAATTGTTAAAAGTTGTGATGTACGGACTGTTTTCCTTTTTCCTTCTCCCAGGACATCCTGGACTGGCCGACCTCCCGTCTGTTCTTTTACTGGCGTCTGCGCCGCCTACTGTTGGAGGACACAGTGAAGAATAAGATCCAGGCGGCCAACAGCGAGCTGACCGACGGCCAGATTCAGGCAATGCTGCGTCGCTGGTTTGTAGAGGCGGAGGGAGCTGTGAAGGTAATCTTAATTTAGTTCTAGATTCTTTAAATATTCTGTATGTTGAAGTGAAATGCATGTTTTATGAAGGTGAGATTTTCTGTGAAATCAGTATTTAACATTAATTAATAACACCAGGATTATTCCTCGATTTCTTTAAAATATTTATTAGGCTTTTAAAAAAATGTATATAAAATTCTGCACGCAAATGCAATATGCTCTACAAACTCAATGGTTTTAAAAAAACTTAAAAAGAACTTATTAAGGACAGTACTTAATTTTCCATAAAGAAGTTTGAGATGCACTGTGCTTGTTCTTGAATCTGGGAAAGGCCTCTTATGCATTTTCTTTTTTTAATGATTGATTTTTTTTTTTTTTTTTTTAATTTAAAATAAAGATCATTACTTAGTTCAGAAAGTTTAGACAAAAAAGTCCTTTTGATCTATTGGAGATTGCCTGTGGAGACTACATTTTAGCTTTTTTTTTTTTAAAACCATTTTTATTCATCATCTGCTGGCTCCTTACTCTGAGTTCATCCTATCTGGTGTCTTTCCGTTTGCAGGCTGGACAGTTTGTTGTATTGTGTTTTGTTATTCCACCTCTCATAAAGTCTCTCATGTGGATTGAGTCCAACTCCATCCTCTTAGGCTGCAACTGGTGACAGATGTCCTTGTGCCGCTATACAGCCTCTGCGGGCTGGGCAGCACACGAACCGGTTGTCCAGTAGCTGTAGGTTGCAGGGTGATGAGTTACTGGAAAGGCACATGAATCACTTCCAGTTCAGCCACAACAGTGACCTTATCAGCCCGCAGGTAGGGAAGCACAGGGCGCCATGGGCCAGGTCAAGCTTGTTAGCACCGATTAAATATTTAAAATAAAACATCCAGTCAAAATAGAAATCCCTCAGAGTTTCATACACGCGGTTCTCTCGTGCTCCTGTCCAGCCAGTGGGGTGACAGGAGCCAGCTCAGTGTCTGAAATTTCTTTCTTGGTTCATACATTATCCCAATCAGGACTGGCTGTCTTAAGCCACAATTAATCACAGCCCTGGCACTCGCAGATAGGAGGGCAACACACTGTTTCTTAATTAAAAGCAAACAGATTAAAAATGATTAATAAGGGCATTAAATGTTCTTGTGGACCTCAAGCAGTACTGTTCAGAAAAAGGCAAGAGCCCATTAAACCCCTCCCCGAGTCTTTGCTAAGCCCTCAAGCCTGGCTTTGTTTGGGATCAGAAATGCCAGCACCCATGAATACTAATTTTCCTGTCAGGTCCACTCAGCAAGACTCCAAGCCCCCACTTATATGGTGCCCCGCTCACTCCTTGGTTTTGTCATTTATTGATTGACTTATTTATTTTTGGTATTTGCCTTTGTTTTTTCTCGCTCAATTATGTCATTAGCTCACACACATAGAATTTTGTTTTTTTACATTCATCCTCTGTTCTTTAACAATCCGTACCTCATTTAGGCATATTTGTGGGATAACAATGAAGACGTGGTGGGATGGTTGGAGAGGCAACTCGCCGAAGAAGAGGGCGCCAGGTCCGTCATCGACGAGAACATCAAGTACATCCGCCGAGATCACCTCCTGAAGCAGATTCGCAGGTGACTTTCAACAACACAAGTCTGAAGTGTTCAGAAGTTATTCAGTACAAACCACTGAGATGAAACAAACAAGGTCACCCCCCTAACCTTTTTTTTCTCCATCGATTCTAGCCTTGTTCAAGCCAATCCAGAGGTTGCTATGGATTCTATCGTGCACATGACCCAGCACATCTCACCCACTCAGAGAGCCGAGGTGGTGCGCATCTTGTCCACCATGGAAACATCGGCCTCTTCCTAACGGGGGTCTGCAGACTCCCGAAACCACAGCTCAGGCCACAACCACCACCAAAGGAGCCTTGCTCAGTCGGCTCTGCTCCTTTCAGGGGGCCTGGGCTCCAAACTGAGACCGGAGGAGCCAGCGTGACGGCCCTTGCTATCCGCCAGGTTACTGATGAATCGTTGGCTATGATTCTCAACACATTAGATTATAGACGAATGTTATTAGAACATTTTGTAAATGTCTTTCAGGTCTGCTAGCGCTCACACAAATCCTTGTATTTTCTTTTGAAGTGCAATTTTTTTTTTTTTTTTAAAGGTGACGATGTAGAAAATAATCTTGCGACTAATATTTAATATATTTGGAGTTTACACTGTTGCTTAGAATGTTTATGCTTTTGTGATAATCAGTGGCCTCCATCTTTTTCAACTGGAGTTTGTACAATAATATATATTAAAACTTCCATTGTCCTGCTAAAACGCACCTTTGGTTTGTGACATATGCTTGTTAGGATTTACAAGTGTTTTGATGACCAGCTCAACAATGACAACACATTGCTGAGGCAGTTTGCCAAAAAAGGGGGGTGGTTACTCTTCTAAGTAAGAAGCACTTAGTTACTGAACAAAGACGGGGGAACGCTGTAACAGATTTGGACAGGAAAGCCCAGCAGGGAGCGGGAACACGGTCCCTTTTAGACCCTGACCGTTTCACAGTTACCCTGCAGTGAGCAGTGGGCAGCTCGCCTCACAACAAAAACCACAGCTGTCCCTTCTGTTCTCACCCACACATGCTGCTTTACAGGCACTTTAGTGCTGGCTGCTTCCTCTCATTGCACCGGGATCAAAAACTGCACAGGTTTCCCCTGTTGCACCTGGTATGCAAACAAATACACTCACACACGCACAAAGTTACACAAAGAGTGACACTAACGGCGGAGGAGAGCTGAGAATCGATAATGATTCTGTTGATGAAATAATAACTGCAGGCTTGTTTAGAAAGATTTCTGACAGTTGTTGTGCCACTTGAGGAGAAAACACAACAGCTTTAGGTTTTTAACCAAAGAAAGATGAACGATAAGTCTGATCAGAAACTAACTTTAAAATATTTAGGGCTAATGTTCTCTTGACTAGCATGGTACGTGGCAGATGTGGTTACTAACTGCAACCTTAGTCCTCACAAACAAGTTTATTTCTAGTTTGTCATTCCAATTATTTTTCTTTTTGTTGATGTTGATTCTCTAACAGTGTCTGACTCAATGTAACTTGTCAACTTGAGTTTGTTATTAAAAGACAAAACTATGGAACTTGTCTTCACGTATTCATTGATCAGGCGCCATTTTTTGCTGACATGTCTTCTTTAGATCAGATTTTTTTTTCTTTACAAAACTAAAGTTTTCCAACATTTTTGCACTAATTTAATTTGTCGTTTATTTTTTTTATACATTTGTGATTTATGAAACAGATAATCACATCACAGGAAGCCTCATTAATTCCAGCAGTCAGAACAAAGTCTTTCACTCTGGAGGGACATTTTCTGATTACTTGAAAACGATAGTCTTCCAATTCCTCAATCCACAGATTATTACAGTGGCATTTTCTTTCTGGGTTTTAAACTTCAACAGTATTAAGACGGATGAAGCAGATCAAACAAATATTGAGGGATCTATCTCATCCCTTTTTTTTTTCCCCTCTATTTTTTTCTGATTCTTTCATATCATCCCTGTGGCTCTGTCAACTCTATTACCATCCTACCAACAAATATGTAAGACAAATGGAGTTGCATGCACCAAATGCCCACCACAATTATAGAAGCTCCAATAAGAAAATGAGTCATTTGGAAGTATAATTGGAAATGTGCTTTGCTTGGTCTCACAGGTCTCCCAGAGGGTTTTGCTCATTTGTGGTGGCATGCTAGGCCTGCTAATTCTGCTTTTAATCACTGGCAAACTGCAGAATCGGGGTCCTCCCCAGCCGCATGGGCTGAGGGAGGAGACTGGTAAAACTTTCAGGTACAACTCAATGTTTTCCTCCGTTGTTGACCGTGCAGATTAATTTAAGAAAATGCCTTTTGTTGACATCTGCAGACGTGATCTGACAAAGGTCTAAAGTTGAAACATTGGAGGCCCCTTAACTGGGTTATATTTGACAATTCTCCAACTAGTTTCAGTTAGAACTGTAAGAAAAACAGAAGGAATGATGAGAAATCTTAATGGAAAAAAGGATAAAATAACTGTCTGTGGTGACAGAAATGGAGGCTTTGATATAGCGTGGGGGGGGGGGGGAAAGAGACACAATCGCGCATCTGAGGCATAATTCCACATTCAGGAGTCTCAATGACTTGACAGCACTTGAGAGACAAAGCCTGTGACCCAGTTGCAGGATTCCAATTAGCAGGGTGTATGCAACAGTTGAGATGAAAAGAGAACAGGGTCTTTACAGAGCCCCAGGGCTGTCTGATTACTGCCTGAAAACACGAGTCTTTTGCCCACGACAAAGAGTGGAGCGACACAGAGGGAGTGCCAGACCTCAGCTGCTCATCCTCTCTCCAGACCCAGCGTTTTGAAGTGTTCCTCTCTGCCCGCCCGCCAGCCTTTTTACATTTCAACCATACTTCAAGTGCATAGCAGCGGGCCCGGTCCCACTAAAATACTTTTCAAATGTGTCCAATGAGTTGAGCAACCAGTAGATTTTCCTGATAGTCTTGGGTGGAAATGGATGGCAATGGATTAAAAGCCTATATCTGTTGCGTCAAGTCACTGGCAGATTGCTTGTTGCATTACGTGAGCACATTTGTGACTACCACATTTCTGCTGTTCAAATAGAAAAAATATTGATTAATTTATATAGACTCAGTAAAATACGTATTTCCAAAGTTGTGATATCTTTTAATTCTCAGTGGATTGGTGCCGCAGTTAAATGTTGTTTTGACTTTTTATCATAAACCTTTTCCATAATGTAGTGTGAAAACGTTTCATTTTACAGATATGAATTCATTTGTAAAACAAGTTGTTTGCTTGATGAAGCATACAGATTGTGTTTATCGTCAGTATCTGCAAACCCATTTAATTACATAATGCATTCAGGTAATGCCTGCATTTATCTGTCAAAACGTCAGCTTTATTCCTAAAACTTATATCGATTCCATGAAATCAAATCACATATTTAAATTGTATTATGGCTAGGACAAAGATAATGTAGATAAATAATGTAGATAGATCATAAATAATGTAGATAAAAAACAAATAACATTGTTCAGTTTTTTTATAAAGTGATTATTAGAAAAACAATCGAATAGCAAACAGGTTTTGTGAAAGGCAATATCCCACTCTAGAAAAAAATGATATATAAATGATTTATTACATCTTTTATGTTCGGGCCTCAAAGTTCAGAGAAGGCAAGTAATCTCTCTTGGGGCAGGAAAGCAGCCTGTCAGTCAGAGGCTGAGGTCAAAGATTGCAACACCCTGTGATCATCACCATATAATGCGCACATTTTTATTCTGCCAGAGCTTGGTAAACATTGTCTGAACAACATGACGGCAGTCAAGAGAGTGAATTCACAAGCAGACGAAACCTCCTGTGAACAGAAAAGAAGAAAAAGCACCAACAGAAAATATTACGAACCTCGGGGTTAACTGGCAAAAAAAAATATTTCAGTGAGATCTGCAAAATAAAAGTTTTTCTGGACACAAATATTATAAAGATTTTTTTTTTTTAGCAAAAGTCCTTCATAACATCTATGAAAAAAAAACAACACAAATCACAAAGCTCACAGTTCATCTCCCTTCTGCTGTCCGTGCTGTTGTCAATATTTGTCTTGAGTATTAAAAACAAGACAAATATGGCTTATCCAACAAGACTCATCGTATGCATAAAGCTGCTGTGTATTACAGATCAGGGGGAAGCTACTCCCCTGGATCATGAAGCCCCCCTCCCCTCCAACCCCCTCATTCCGGCATTAACATTCATGGAGCCAGTGAAGTGTGGCGAGCCACGTAGATTGAGCCAACCACGAGACTCAGATTGTGGTAAAGGGGGGAATACGTTTTTTTCTGAAATAGGGGGAAGGGGGGAGGTGTGATGGTGAAGGTGGCCCTGTGTAGGATTGTGGAAAGGTCAGCTACATACCCCAGATAGCACACCTTTTCGGTCATCTATCGCCATTATCTCTGTGGGTCATCCAGAAATGATGGCGGCAGGAAGGTACGCATGGTGTCCTGGGCGAGTGGGCGAGCCCAGGTTAGCAACATTATTACTGTATCTTGAAGTAAATGTCAGTAAATATATCACGCCCAATGAGGAAGCCGGACTCAGGGGAAGAAAAAAAAGCCAGCCTTGTGGTCTGTTGCCTTTGGGCCAGACTCTAATATCTCAACATCTGAAGGGTTGATTGCAGGAGAATTTTGGACAGACTTTACAGCCATCTCCAGAGAATGAAATCCTCAGACTTTTAGTGAGCCCAGTTGTTTTGTTCTCCCTTCTTTTATTGCCACTGTCAAACTGGTATTTGTGAATGCTACAAAAAAATATCTAAAAACCTTTGGAAGGATGTGACAGTTGCAACATCTTGATTCTATTTCTCTGTTATCAGGCTTGATGGTTGGTATGTAGCATTTTGGTTGATGTACCGAGGATGCTCGTCACCAAACATAGCGCCATGCATCATGATCACACATCTCCACTTTGCTCTTATCTCTCCGCAGACTGTTGCTCCAGACGTTTTGTGGTTTGATCAGATTTCACTTTGTAAACTGAATTTGCACAGACATGTTCTTTTTTTCGTTTTTTTTTAAAGATAATTTTTATTTATTTATGGCAGGATGCAATGCTTGGGTGGTGGAAAGAGCCTCATGACCATCCGGGTGATTAGTAAACAGCAGCAATTCCTTTCCAAGATCTTTGCATGTCTCTCCACTTTAAGTTGGTTTGACAAAACTTGCTTTGATGATGGCACTCATGCTTACTGATGATTACTTAATCAAATACTTTTGATTAGAAACTTTCTTATAACTCCTGAGGTGTA